GAGGACGGGGGCGGCCAAGGGGGCGGCGCCGTAAGCGAGGGCGGGGGCGGCGCTGTAAGCACCGAGGTATCCGGCGTTGGCGCAAGCCAAAGCGGCGCACAAAACTACGAGCTGAAATTTAAATTCAATTTAAGTGAATTTGATTTAATTTAATTAAGTAGGTACCCTGAATGCCATTTTCGAGTTTGAGTGATTGTTGACGAGTGTGCTAGGGTTTTGGGTTTGGTCGCTTTTATAGTGGTTATTGTTTCGGGTTTAAGGCGAGAAATGGACCAATAAACTGGTTCGGGTGGCAACTTTTCATTTTGGCGGAGTGCGAAGTTATATTGCAATAACGAGTTTAATTCAAGTACAAGGATATTTCTTGATCTAGACCACAATATACCACTGTGTTAAGGTTAACACAAGAATGGTACTCTATATTGCTTAATAAATGTGGGTTCAATAAAAGAATTCAAGTAGATATGAGAAAAGATAAATCGGATTTTTTTCAAAAATTTAAAATTAGGGAAACTTTTGTGTCGCAAATTTATTACTACTATAACTTATAAGTCATAAAGTAGACTAATATTCCCCATAAATAATGTAAAAATACATTTTAACCATTTTTTATCAGTTATTTTTTAAGTTTTATTGTCTAAATAAATTGATAGATCAAATAAAAAATATGTAAGGTTTTAAGGTTTAATATACAGGGTGCGCCAGAACATGCGCCCCAGAGAAAAATGCCATGTAAGATAAGATACTAAAAACATGAAAAAAATTCTATCTATAAAAATTTCGAAGTTATGAGAGTTTAAAGTTTGCACTTTGACTCTATTTATTTCTGTTGGAAAAATAATTTTCCAAGTTTTTTTGCTATAGGCTATTAAAAGGAGAAACAGGAAAGCTGTATCCCAAATTGTAACTCTGTTCAATGTTATTTGTGGCTTTTATTGGCAAAATTTTTGTGCCTTTACTAAATAATTATAAAAAAAAACATATACCAGATCATCAGTATCTTTAAATAGACATAAAAAAAATCAAATGTCAAAATTTTGTGACAGATAGAATTTTTTAAACATTTTTTCCATCTTCCTGGTATCTTATCTTACTTGAAATGTTTCTCTGGGGCGCGAGATCTGACACACTCTGTTCAGCATGTCCCCCAGTATACGTTCGAAAATTTTCAATTTTTTTTAATATGTAGAATGAAGTGATTTGCAAGGTATGAATAAAAATTGACTCACCTGGTACAACCTTTGTTAAAACGTGTTTTTTCTGTATTATTTTACATTTATTGTGCAATATTAAATTATTCTAGACAGCTATGTATATGATAAGGCAATATGTTTTATTCGGGCGTGTCTTGCCCTACATTAGAGAAATTAGCATGAGTTGAAGAAGGTGGATGTCAATGTAAATTTAACAACTTTTTACAATTCTACATTAAAATAACTGAAACTGGCGAAACCAAGCACAGAATGAAAATCTGAGAAAAAATACTTCAAAAACCGGCTTTTCTCATAAAAAACGGAAACTTTCTTTTTCCCATTTCTCATTTTGAAGAAATTTTTGTTACAAAGATTTATTTCTCTACTAATTTCGAATGTTATTTTTTTTTTAATTTTACATATTGTTCCAAGTTTACTTAATTAAATATTATCTAATAATTTTGAGTTTTTTGACTGTTTGTGACAAAAAATCTATTGGCAACACTGAATTATTGATAATCCTTCAAATTTGTTATATCAAGATCTTTCAGGCGACGACTAAGCGAGCAATTGCGCGTCGCAACTGAATGACATTATCTATAAAAATTTGACGTTTGAATTTGAAAGTCAAGGTTGCCAACCTAAGATTAATTCTTTTTAATCTTCCAAAATTCGCCAAATTTTGAAAAAACAAAGGATTATGAAAGTGTTGCTTCATTCCAAAAAGTCGTCATTTATTTAATAAAAATGATTATCAGCGATCACTTTTGGTACGATTTGCGGTGCAGCAAAATATATTTGTTTTAATTATTAATTGTTTTATTAATCGCCAAACATATTTTATCTTTTCAATACACATTTAAAGTGACAAATATCATGAACTTGTTCTCATTAACCACAAGAATACCAAATTTCGCAATGGACCACAATTGAGTCGTTTTCCCCAAAACTGGTTTATTGCCAAACTATAAAACCGCACCAAACCCCAAACCGACCATCATTCAAAACCCAACACTCCACTAAAACAAAATGGCATTCAAGGTAATTAATTAAATTAAATCAAATTCACTTAAATTGAATTTAAATTTCAGCTCGTAGTTTTGTGCGCCGCTTTGGCTTGCGCCAACGCCGGATACCTCGGTGCTTACAGCGCCGCCCCCGCCCTCGCTTACGGCGCCGCCCCCTTGGCCGCCCCCGTCCTC